GAACCACTGTTCCCAATCTCAGGAGAGGGGTGGAAATCACTCAGAATTACAACTGATCTCCAGGAGGGAGGGGGGAAGAGATGCAAAGCTGAAATCAGAGGGGCAGATAATGGCAGGTTGATGCTTGGCTGGGAAGGAGATAGGGTTGCTAACACCAGGTTGGGAAATTCATGAAGATTTGGGGGGTGGAGCCTGGAGAGGGTGAGGTTTGAGGAGGGGTGGGACCTCAGACAGGTACAATGCCATAGACTTCACCCTCCAAACCCGCCATTTCCTCCTGAGTAACAATTGTTGCTGATCTCCAGGTGAGGGCTGGAGATCACTGAAAATTACAACTGCTCTTCAAGTAGCAGAGATCAGTTCCTCTGGAGAAAATGGTGGACTCTGTGTCATTATACCCTGCTGAGGCCGCCACGGCACATTGACGCTGAGTGGCCAAGGCCTTGTCACTCTCCAAGAGCCTCTTTCTAGAGCTCATTGTATTTATTTCCACAACAGGTCTTATTTCTAGTACCCTGTTTCCCTGAAAATAAGACCTACCCCAAAAATAAGCCCTAGCAGGATTTGTATGCATTTGTGGTATAAGCCCTAGTGTGTCTTCTTGAGAAAAAATAAATATAAGACAGTGTCTTATTTTCGGGAAAACACGGTAGTTGTATATTTGGTGTAGTGGTTTGGTGTACTTTGGTGTAGTGGTTAAGTGTGCGGACTCTAATCTGGGAGAACCGGGTTTGATTCCCCACTCCTCCACTTGCACCTGCTGGATGACCTTGGGCAACCTATAGTTCTGACAAGAGCTGTCCTTGAAAGAGCAGTTTCTGTCAGAGCTCTCTCAGCCCCACCTACCTCACAGGGTGTATGTTGTGGGGAGGAGAAGGGAAAGGAGTTTGTATGCTGCTCTGAGACTCCGAGTGAAGGGTGGGGTATAAATCCAATCTCTTCTCTTCTCTTCTTCTTCTTTAACATGCATATATTATTCTATGTGTGTGTTTGGTGGGGTAGGGTGCAGGGCATACAGCAGTCATGTGGCTCTTTTAGTTGGTTGTTGTAGCAAATATTGCTCTCTGTGAACTGTTATTTGATTCATATATCACTTTATCATAAGGTCCATAAACAATACAATTTTTAAAAACTGAATTTCTTCCCCTCTCCTCATGAAGCTGCCTCTCCTCGTCACAATAAGTTATCTTCCTTTGGTGAATTGGAAGGGCCCTCTGCTTTTCTGCATCAGTTGGAGGTCTTCCTCCTCTCACAGGAGCAAAACCTCTGCTGGCACCTTGAAGGGCTGCTGTGAGAGTTGTAGCAGGCAGGATTTGTCTTGATGATGTGATGCTATATAAGGCAGCTTCATATGCAAGACTGTGAGCCATAAGAGAGCCAAGAGGCTCCCAGATACCTTATGGAGTTGTTGTAAGGTTTACTGGGATAATATATATAAGGTCCTTTGAATGCTCAAGATTCATGTTATCAATGACAATATTAATCAATGGAGTTCCAAGTGGGTACACAATGCACTATTGTGAAAAGTCAGTAGGGAGATGAAGCTAATCAAATTGTTGACATCTTTGAGTCACATGTATTGAAACCCATGCACTAGAATAAATATAAATATGCGGGCAGACTGCCATATTGATGGCATAAGAATGAGACTAGATAAAGCTGGGTTTAAAACAGAGCTGTTCTTTTGTTCTGTAGCAGGAAAGTGAAGTAAAGAAAAAACTGAAAACTAGCCTACAGGTGAATTTGGGGTGGGGGGAAGGGTTCATATAAGTAAGACAGTGCTGACTCTTATAATCTACAGTGTCCCAAATAATACTGGCTTCTAAAGTGCTCTGTGTTAACATGCAGCTTTTACCTAAAAGACAGAGAAAACATTCCATCTAATTTGGCTTGGCCAATCTATTGCATGCCTGTCTGACTTTCTGAACTGGCAGTTTCCCAGTTCAGTCAGAAAGTTTCAGCCACATTTTATTTGTGCAGTAGGGATTCATAGACAGTTTAGCCATCCTATGGGCTTTGTAGTGGGCATTTGTATAATGTTGCTTATATGATATATCAGCTCACTTTGTGCAAAGACAACTGGCTTTGCTTTTTTCCTAGAAAGGAGGTTTTGAGCTGCAGAAAGTGACGCTGTGCCATACGACAGCATTTATAACGTCATTTAGCCCTTCATTTAGTGCTTGAGGATCCTTGTCTGTCTGCCATTCCAGGGCAAGAATAACAGGGATAGCTAGTTGGGACAGAGCTCTTGTAATATGACTATTCAGACAAGAAGCTGAATGAACAGTGAGCAGAAAAAAGTTAATGCCTTTGAATAAAAGCTGATTCAACATAATATGTTCAATATGGCTTTATTTATTTATTTAAACATTTATATGCTGCCTTTCCCTGTGGTACATAGTAGCTTACAATACTATTACAAGGATTCTATTTTTGTGTGTGATTTTATGTTTTTCTTTCCATTGTTGTAACTGTTTTTGCTTTTTTGTTTTTCTGAATTAGACACGAAAGACTCCAAGGAGAAGAATAAAATGGAAATCTTATATATTCTGGTGCCAAGTGTTACGATACCTCTGGCTATTGCCTTGCTGTTTTTCTTCATCTGTATTTGTCGCAACAACCAGAAGTCTTCCTCCCCCCCTGTTCAAAGGCAGCCCAAGCATGTCAGAGGGCAGAATGTAGAGATGTCTATGCTAAATGCCTACAAACCAAAGGTACAACCATACAAATGTCACTGAGAATAAAGTGCTTAATTAATTAAGTGAAACTTTTTTATCTTAAAAGATCTTTAGCATTTTGGTCTCTTCCATCTCTTTTGTTCCATCATCACTATATCTAATGCTAAAAGGGCTAGTTTCTGTGCCAGTCATGAAAGCAGCAAAACCAGCCTACCTGCAGACCAGAGTGGAGGGAGGTCTACTTATTCAGGGAATGTCCCAGAAAGTCAGAAAAAAATTACTTGTAGATTAAGCAAAAGAAATAGGAAGACCCCTGCAAAAAAAATAAAATCCTTGAGGAAGAGGGATGGAATGCTGAGGGTAGTCGTGAGTCAAAGTACGGGGGGGGGGGGGAGAAAATCCACAACTGAAGGTCCTGAGAGATGAGAGAATGCTTGAGGAAAACTAGGGAGGCTTCACTTCCAAATCTTCGCCTTCCAGTTCATTATGGGTCCTAGTTTGTTCCCTCTAATATCAGAGGTCATTGCTGAGTGCTTACATAGGGAACAAAGCAGGGATTACCACAGACAAGGAGGGAATTTTTGCATACCTGGAGGAATTCCCAGGTAAGCAGGAAAATTACTATTTTTAAGGTGATCATACCCCATAGTAATACTCTGATGGGAGATTGAGCAATGTTCATTTGTTCTGTATGGTGCATGGAAGGTTGAGGGCAACTTTTTTGGGGGGAAGAATGGCCCATTCAGTGCCCTAGGAGTTAACCTGGAAGGGATATATTTCACTGTTTAAATTTCCCAATTGTTCACTCTAGCTGGCTACCTTTTATGAACACATATTAAAATAAGAGATAATTTTGCTTTGATTTTCCTAAAATCCCATGTTGCCCTCATGTAAAATACAGAAAAGCTTCTTTGAATGTGGATCTCTCTTGCATTTAGATATATGCTTACTGTTTCAATGCAAAATGTTACGCTAGGACTAAAACTTTGGTTTTATGTAAGAGGGAACAAAGCTAAGCAGGTCTACTCAGAAGTCAGTCCCATTTTAGTCAATGAGGCTTATTCCCAGGACACTGTTCGTAAGATTGCAGCTTTAATTACCTTATATAATGTAATAAATTGTATCCACTCTTGTCACCTACCCAATAGAAGCAACTGATGCAGCCAGGGTGTCTCTCGTGAATTCCCTTTGTTCTTGGTTTACTTTGGCATAATGCCTCATATGTGTTTTACACATCTTTGCATTTTGTACATCACCATATGACAAATGCTTGTCAAACAAAAACTAAGCAGATTTATAACTGCTTAACTCAAAATGAACCCCCTTCCTGCCAAAACTTTATAACTTCATTTTCTTACCATAGTTTTCCACTAGGCTGGATAAAACAGACAAACCCTGCCTGAGGTTAGACAGAGGTTATTTCACTTTCATTACTAAAATATAATTTACAATATGCCAGACCTAAACAAGTTTTAGCCTAAAGGATTTGTATAATATAAACCATCTGTTTCTCAACAATACAGCTAATTTCCTGCCATCACTACACAGTCATCCGGCTGCTTGTTTAAAGGCCTCTGCAATATATTAATTCACAGGTTTATCTAAAATTTGTAAGTGGGCAGGAAGATTGGGATTCAGAGCTGAGTGTCACTTTTAGATTATAATAAAGCATAGCAAATCCTCCCCCCCCCTGCGATACTGTTTGGCAATACTGCAGTGATCTGTAACTCAAGAGAGTAGTAGGAAAGGTGTCACAGTTTCCTATAGGCTTTGGCCATTGAGTTCTCACTTAATTACTCTTGTCACCTACTCATGAAAATATGAAAGTTCCCATCTATAAGAATTTAGTTCTTTTTAATCCTATGTAAAAATTGGAGATGTCATATCCAACCTTCTTATCAACCAGTCGAAGTCTATAAAGAGCAACACTGTTGCTCCTCTGTTCCAATTGCTTCCTATAATTTCAGTCCTATAGCAGTATGAGATGAGCCCAAAATGACCTTTGACACCTGTTGTCTTCTTTTTAACAGAGCAAAGCTAAGGAACTACCTCTTTCTGCTGTTCGTTTTATGGAAGAGTTGGGTGAATGTGCCTTTGGCAAAATCTACAAGGGACATCTTTATCTTCCAGGCATGGACCATGCTCAGTTGGTTGCTATCAAGACTCTAAAGGACTGCAACAATCCACAGCAGTGGGCGGAGTTCCAGCAGGAAGCCTCTTTGATGGCAGAGCTCCATCACCCTAACATTGTTTGTCTCCTTGGTGTTGTGACTCAAGAGCAACCAGTCTGCATGCTTTTTGAGTACATGAACCAAGGGGACCTCCATGAATTTCTTATTATGAGGTCACCACATTCAGATGTTGGATGTAGTAGTGATGAAGATGGAACTGTAAAATCCAGTCTGGATCATGGTGATTTCCTGCACATAGCAGTCCAGATTGCAGCAGGGATGGAATACTTATCAAGTCATTTTTTTGTCCATAAAGATCTGGCAGCTCGCAATATTTTGATTGGAGAACAGCTCTATGTAAAGATTTCTGATCTGGGATTGTCAAGAGAAATATACTCTGCAGATTATTACAGAGTTCAAAACAAATCTCTCTTGCCGATTCGGTGGATGCCCCCTGAAGCAATTCTGTATGGCAAGTTCTCTTCTGATTCAGATATTTGGTCCTTCGGTGTTGTGCTGTGGGAGATTTTCAGCTTTGGTCTCCAACCCTATTATGGATTTAGCAACCAAGAAGTTATAGAAATGGTAAGGAAACGGCAACTTTTACCATGTTCAGAAGACTGCCCTCCGAGAATGTACAATTTAATGACAGAATGCTGGCATGAGCTGCCATCTCGGAGACCAAGATTCAAAGATATCCATGCTAGGCTACGCTCTTGGGAAGGACTGTCAAGTCATACTAGTTCCACTACTCCTTCTGGTGGAAATGCTACCACTCAAACAACTTCTCTTAGTGCAAGCCCGGTTAGCAACCTAAGTAACCCTAGGTATCCTAACTTCATATTCCCAGCACAGGGTATACCACAAGGCCAAATTGCTGGATTCATTGGCCCACCAATGCCTCAGAACCAGCGCTTTATTCCTATCAATGGGTATCCTATTCCTCCTGGATATGCTGCTTTTCCAGCTGCTCACTATCAGCCTGCAGGCCCACCAAGGGTAATTCAACACTGTCCTCCACCAAAGAGCCGTTCACCAAGCAGTGCAAGTGGGTCAACTAGCACCGGTCATGTGACTAGCTTGCCCTCTTCAGGATCCAATCAGGATGCGAATATTCCTTTGCTCTCTCATATGTCAATGCCAAATCATCCAAGTGGGATTAGTATAACTGTGTTTGGAAACAAAACTCAGAAACCTTACAAAATTGATTCCAAACAGGCATCTTTATTAGGAGACTCCAATATTCATGGACATAATGAATCTGTGATTTCAGCAGAGATATAAATGTCAGGCCTTTGTAAATAAAACCTTTTACAATATGGACTAGAAAAATGTAGAGGAGAGTTATATTCAAATATTTTATTGGAGATTCTTCTGGTTGTATAGAGAGACATTTGCAATAAGTATCTTCTGTGAAGTTTATTTGTTCATAACAGGATAAAGAGGTGCCAACCAGATTTTTTTTAAATGACATCTTCATTTTACATGTAATTTACAGTTATTACCGCAAAATTTTAAATAAGTGAGGGGTAAAGTCATTGTGTCATTTTTTTAAAAAAACTTGATTCTGTGACACCTTTTATTTAATCACAGTAGTTTTAATCCAGTGGTTTTCACCTCAGCAGCCTTATTATTCTGAACATGTGTATTAATATTTTCATTGTTATGAATGAAGTGTGATGGCCAAGTACTTAGAACAGTTACAGTAAAACAAGATGAGATGCTGAAAGATCCGTTGATAAATACGACTCTAATTGTATCTTTGTGGGTTAGGAAAGTGGCTGAGGTGGACAGAGCTGAATCAAATACCCCTGTGGCTGCTTTTTTTTAACAGTTAAAAATGTTCAGGAGATCTTCCAACATGTCATCTTGATTGACCCTTTACTACACTCCTGAACTATGGTAGTTTGAGTCTTGTTTTATTTCATGTGCTATGGGCATCCTCAGTCAAAAGACGAGCAAGTACTTGATCAACTAAGCTAGGAGAAGCCAAAAGTAGTAATAACATTTTTATTTCAGCTTGGTGGAGCACACTGAGAAATGACTTGCTATTTTTTTCTAGAAACACCATCCACATAAAACCAGCGGATGCACAATTTCAAATCAAGATAACAAACATTTGCCTCTATTTTAGACAAGAATGTTTGTTCAGATAAATTAAAGGCCACTTTGAATAATAAGTGGATACATTATTTTAAGAGGCGAACTATGGATTACATGGAAAATTCGCAAACTATGCATTACATGGAAAATTTATAATTAGATCTGATATAACCTACAAAACAGGTCCAAGGGAAGGGGATTAAATCAAGGGGATGAGGGGGAATTAAAATTTCCCTTATATTGTTTTCCCAATTGAAATAATCTCCTTCCACTTTACCCAAATTTATGTTAGCTATGGGGGTAGGAAGAAGATTGATACAACAGATACTCCCCTCCCCCAGCGCCCCAGCCCACAACGGCTAATACCAGCTTTCTACTGGGGAACAGCATGTAGGGGAGAAATGGTTAAATCCCTTTCCCTCTGTGCCTTCTCCATCCATGGCTGCTTTTCAGTGTTAAAAATAGACTGGGAAAGTCAATGATGGTTCTCTCATACAATACATATTTTGATCCTAAGCAAAGATTCTGCCTACATAGTGATGAATGTAAATTCATGCATAAACCCAAAATATGTAAGACATATTCATGGTATAGAATTGTACAAGCAAAATACAGCTGGACTACAAGAACCATCAGAGGACATCTGCTAGCAGTGCAATCCTAAGAACACTCTGCTGGGGGCAAGTCCCATTGAATAGACCTAAGTAGGATTCTGAGTAGACCTGCTTAGAATTGCTCTCTCAAATACATGTCACTGGCATAAAATAAATGATTGAAAAATTATATTTCTTGACTTTATATCTGTAGTTGCAATAGAACTTTGTACCTTGTTGCTATGCAACCCTCTAATTAAAAAATTCTAAATTCTTATTTTATAATAGACAATCAATTTGCCCAAGAATATTTATTATTTCAGGTAAACACATAACTTTTGTAGTTACAACCTTGAAAGGGGATGTCTACATTCCATCAGATATATACAACAATTTTCTGGAATTGTTTATAATAGCTTTTGTATGTCATTTCAAATAATGTGAATTAGAGACTTTTTATTAGAAAATACTGCATTTGTATTACTGAAGTCTATTCAGGTATAACCAGACTGGATTATTTTGGAACCACTGTAATTTTTGTTTCAAATACTGTGTTTATTGCAATTCAGACTAAATAGTTTTTCTATTGGTTATACACATAAACATATGCTATGTTCTGGACACTTGACAGTAACTCTTTAAAAATCTTTTGCACAAAAATGTGTTTGTTTTGTATAGCAGAACTGAAAAATACATCCCTGCTTTTCATTTCTTGGTCTGCTTCTCATTTTTTTAAAACTATCTGGAGAGGCCTTCAAAGATATGGTGATATTTAGTTATCACTTCCATATAGTTTGTTGAATTTCATTACTGTATTACTTTTATTGATCTGCTAACTAAGGCTCTTGGAGTAAGGCTACCATGAAACCATAACAGCCCAGGGGGTTTTGTATAGAAGGTTTTCATATTTGTATTTCAGGGTAACATGAAACATTGATGAGTTTTTAAAACTGGTTTTTAAAACATTCTTATAATATAAAACTATACACATTTTCAAAATTGCAATATAGATATTCAGAGTCTCAGATTTAAAATCACATCCCAGTTTTCTTCCTCATATAGTTGCCAACGCCAGGTTGGAAATTCCTGAAGATTTGGGGGTGGAGCTTGGGGAGGGTGGGGTTTGCAGATGGAAGGGATTTCAGCAGGGTGTAATGCTGTAAAGTCCACCCTCCAAAGCAGCCATCTTCTCTGTAGTCTGGGGATCAGTTGTAATTCCAGGAGATCTCCAGGCCCCACCTGCAGGTTGGCAACCCTATTCACACACACACACACACACACACACACAAGTCCACTAAAACAGATTTTTAAAGGGAAATATACAGATTCTCAAAATTACTTTTTATTCCTGGCATTCAAGGTGCTTGAGGGAAATTATTAATATAACTGTAATAACTGAGTGAAACAATTAATGGTGACTATTAGTCTCTGGATGGAGGTAATCCAGCATTTCACATTTGTTTAACAGTGCACTCCTATGCAGAGCTACTCCAGTCAGTGGACTGGGACTGGAATAATCTCCATAGGACCCACTGTTATGTCTGGGGGGGGGGGGCCTGTATGACGGTGGCTTTTGTGCGTGCATGGCTTGGCCTAGATTTTTTTTCCGTTTTAAATGTTTAAATTTATTTTTATTATTTCAATTTATATACCACCCCTTCCCCCACAAAGTGGGGATCAGAGCAGTTCACAACAGTATAAAACAGATATAATAAATATAGTCAAAACAGTTGTAAGGAAGATAAAATGAGCATTCACTTCAAAAAATAAAACCAAGTACCGAGTCCTGTTGCATGTGCAGTTGTACACAAAAATATAATGTAAGAATCATGCATGTGTACACTCAACATGGCAACGTGTGCAGGGCTTTGTTTGGTTGGCTTTTGACTGCAATGTTGTTAACATAGATTAGGACAGTGAGTTTCTTAGTCCAGGAGTTCATGCTAACCCACTTAATTCCCCCCTCCTTGAACTACTGACCCTTATGCCATATTACAAGCTGTTTTTGAAACTTGGCTCTCCCTTTCCAAGCAGTCTACTGTGTAGCATGGGTTGTGCTCTGTGAGGAAAAACAAGGCAAAAGTCACTGTTCTATTTCCACAGTTCTTTCCATCCTGATTGTTCTTGATCAACATATAAAATATTATGAGATGCATTTTGAATCACATGCCAAATTATAGAGACTGGCTTCATGCACAAAGTACAATTAGTTAATAAGTGATAAAATAGTGATAAGAATTAATTGGATAGGAAATAGGGAGTGAGCCCCCGTCTCTGGGCCCAGCTCCTGCCAACCTAGCAGTTCAAAAGCAAGAAATTGCAAGTAGATAAATAGGTACCACTTTCCGTGCGCCTTGGTGTTTAGTCATGCCGGCCACATGACCACGGAAATGTCTTTGGACAGCGCTGGCTCTTCGGCTTGGGAATGAAGATGAGCACCACAACCCTAGAGTCGGATTCGACTGGCTTTCAAGCAAGGAAACCTTTACTATCCCCTATGGTAATATTAATATCTTCTTTGGAACTCACTGAGGCTTAAAAAGATCATGTACTCTTGGTACCAGTGGCTACTTTTTTATGCCTTGCCACCCTGAATTAATGTTTCCATGTTATTCTTCTCTTTTTAAAAATAAATCACCCCATTTCTTTGGTGACCTTTATTTTCAAGATAGAGAACAGACCTTAAGGTTTTCCATTTATCAACATAATCTGATGGAATTTATTTTAATCAGTAGTTACAGTCTCTGAGTGATTGGCAGCAAAACTGCTCAACAAGTGTTTTGTGTTTCAAAAGGGGGATGGCAAAAATCATTTAGGCTATGTAAATAAAAGCCCTTTGTCATTGCCACCAAAGAATCATAGAGAAACTGTGTAATCTCATTTCTAATATTATATACTTATCTGTTACCTTATTAAGGGGGCAAAAAAGTTCTTTGCTTTGTGAGACCATATAAAAGAATGCATAATTATACAGAAATTAACAAAGCATTATATATAGCAAGGAAGAGACTCCATGTGATACCCAGCCCCTGAGGGAATGCAAAAAAATAAAAAAGGCCTTAAGCACCAAACAAACACAGCTACCTAGCAAAGGACCATTGTTCAAATTACATAAGAAACAAAGACATCAAAGGAGTTTACTGGGGGGGAGATTAATTTTAAATAGAAAAGAAAAAAACAGGCATAAGGTTAACTTCAAGAGTCAAACAGTGTGATTCTATGCAGAGTAGCTCCAAGTTAAGTTCATTTAAGTCAAACTTATTCAGGGCGCAAGGATACAGCCATGGTTAAAACACACACACAAACACACACACACTTGCAATTCCATATGTTAAATCAGACCAAAGGACCTGAACATTTATTTCACATCCCTAAAATGAAGGTGATGGAGGGACACATTAAACCTGACCATCACAAGTGAAACTGAAACTGCAAAATATGTAAGATTAAAACAAAAATAAAGAAATTCAAGCCAGACAGGTCCATCAATATGACAGAAGTTTAACTTTAGCCAAGTAGGGAAACAAGACATGCATGGATTAATATAAGTCTCTATTGAATATTAAACCTCTTGTGAATTCAGGAGCTCTTATGTATTTGCATACAGTTCCCTGGCTGACACTCTTCCATTCACTTCACTGGAAGAGACTGTTCTGTGTGTGTGTTTCTTACAAGGTAAGCATATGAAGGTGTTTCTACTGCTGAGGTGAGGAAACTGCTCTAGAAATCTTGTTCAGTCAGTCAGTGGCAGGAGCCAAACTATGTCAAGGAACAGACTGTCAGGGAAATTCATGAAGCTTCATGCT